TATGTTAGGCACTAATATACCATATAGATATATTTAGCACAGACTATTTAAAATAACTTGACCGCTCCGGCATCCTTATCTTTACTAAATTAAAATCAACACATCCAATTCAACATTATAAATAACAAAATGTTATATTACAAAAATTCCATTATGTTATAATTGTAATTCGATAAATATTCAACTTTTTTATTACATTTTTAAACGATTTTTTAGGGGGTGCTAAGGACCCAAAGCACCTTCCTAGTTGCGCCAATGGCACCCATAAAGAGAAATCGATTTTTCCGTGGGAAATTCGTTGGTACAAATTCTGAAATGAATGGTACAAATTGGTACAAATTATGGTACAATTAAAAGAGCAAAAAAAAAAAAAGTGGAATAGCTCATTATGTGTGATTTTGGGTGCCAGGGAAACGTTTCCCTGGCACCCCTAAAGAGAAATCAATTTTTCCGTGGGAAATTCGTTTGTAAAAATTCTGGAATGAGCGGTACCAATTGGTACTAATTATGGTACAATTAATGGCGTAAAAAAAATTATGGATTTTTCAACATTATGGTGCCAGGGAAATGTACCTATATTGAAACGCGTAAACACGTTTTCGTACATGCTTTTTGGTGGTGTGGCGTCCTCTTAATAAGTCGCTACCTACTTGTCGTCTGCCGAACAATTGTCGTGGACGGTGATGGTGCTATCGATGTACAAACTCGATAAATGGTATTATTTAACCGTTAAATAATACAAGCAGACTGTTTTCTTCGATCAAAAGTAAATTTGCCTCCTGAAGAATTTTGGAAACTGTGTTCGCAGCAAGAAAAATTCCCAACATTACGGAATTTTTCTCTTGAAATTTTGTCATTATCGGAAGTACGTATATTTGTAAATCAGCCTTTTCTACAATGAATTTAATAAAGTCCAAATCAAGAAATCGTCTTCTAGATTCATCTTTAGAATCGTGCATTAGGTTAGTTTAACCACAGGGTATTCAATTGATTTCGAAAACTTGGCTAATGAAAAACAATGTCAATCATCACATTAATCAATTAACTAATTTTAAATTCTAATTAATTTTAATTGTAAGTAACTTAATCTGTAATGTAATAATGTGTGCATAATATAAAATTATAAAATAAAATATAAATAGGTAAAATATAATTTTTTTTTTCTGGCGGCCCCCGGTGTATTTAATAAAGGGTAAATTGGCCCGCGAACCACAAAAGGTTGGACCACCCTGATTCAACGCATTGACGGTACGTACTAATCTCAGGCACGCGGACATTAATCGGTACGTAATTAATGGTGATCCGACGATTGTCCGCCTTGTCGCAAATGCGCGTGATACGTACTATACGCATGGATGTGATTATTGCAAAACGTTCACTTTTATTATACAAAATAAAGTGTATTGTAACGCGAGATTGAGAAACCGGCGTAAATTCGTCGGACATAGGATACAAGTACTTCTCCACGCGCCGATATTTTGTTTTTAGTCCAACGGTGTACATAATATGATTAACAGGGCTAGGATTTGTATGCAACAGCATGTTTTTTTTTTGCGACTTGTGATTATTGATTTTGTCAGTAATATCCACGGATCACTTCATGATGAAATAAATGGTGGTGTTTTTATTTTGCATGTTTTTGTATATTTTGGATAAAATACATATTATTGCATATATTGAATAAAATTAATATTATTGCATATTTCGATTATAAGAATGGGAAAAATAAATATTTTGTAGTATATTTCGTAGTTAATATTTATAATTTAATATTAATATTTCGCATTTAATCCTAGCCCTGCTGATTAAAGGATTTAACTTGGTTTTTTTTGATAAACATAAATTTTATTTTAAATTATTTTATTTTATTTTATTTCTCAGTTATATTATATTAAGACAAACATCCAACCACTGATGTATTTCAATAAATCAATATTTTTTTTATAACTATATTTTTTTGTTTATCTTGTAAAAATTTAAATACATATTTTTGCATATTTTGGTAAATAAAATGCATATTTTACAATTTTTTATTGCATACTAATCCTAGGCTTGATAATTAATAATAATAATATGTACGAAACATAAAACTGAACAAACAACACACATGCTCACGTACATCACAATAAAATGTTCTCGGAATTAATGAGTGTATGTAGATATGCAGGGCCGTCTTAAGGTTTTACGGGGCCCCGGGCCCAACATATTTCGGGGGCCTTACAATACCTACTAAATTATGGTATATAAATTTTTTAACACATAATGCATATTATTTATTAAATATTACACTTAAAAAAAGTAAAAAGTGAATTTTTGTTTAAATCTCTGTTACTTTATTCTTTATTTTACTTTCAAAATAAACGGTCAAAAAATACTTTCCTATTAATTATAACGTCAAGATATTAATTATTCATACATCAATATGTTTTATAGTTAAAAAATAAATGTAATTCATTAAACAAAAACTAATATAATTTAAAAAAAAACATGATATAAATTTGTCAATTATTAAATACTCTTTAATGGTTTCTTCCTAGCTTTTTCATTCGCAAAGTCTTCAATAACATTTTCATAATCTAAACTTGATAGTAGTTCATGTTCAATACTCATTAAAGATAGGGAGTTTAACCGTTTCTGGCTCATTGTACTTCTAAGCTCTTCTTTAATTAAATTTAACTTAGAAAATGAACGTTCCCCACTGCAGTTGGTAATCATCATTGATAAAAAAATTCGGAAAGATATTATTATGTTTGGAAATGTTTCTTCTAGTCTATTTGATTTTAAACATTTGTATGTACTAGAAATACTGAATTCAGAAATATCAAGTTCCGATAGATACGCTTTTAAGTGTATACATTCTAAAATTAATTCATTTTCATTAATATCTACGTGATAAAATTCCGCAAATGTTTTGCAATGGACTTGTACTTCTTTTGTCTCTAAATTTTTTAAATTAGAGAAAAATCCAAACAGTTTATTTATTGTATTGTATGATTTAGCACGAATTTTTAACTGAGTTATTAATGTATCTATTATTGGGAAGTAAGTTTCTATTTTGAATTTTTCACTACCTGAAAACGATGTACTTTTGTTTGTCAGTTCACCGGGTAATGTTAAATGAATACTCCTCTTCTTAGTTCGTTGGTGTAAATCTTTATAGTCAGAATCTGGAAATTTTTCTCTAGCGGAACTTTCATAACTATAAAAGTTATCTCTAATCTCACTTAGAAAACCAGCAAGAGAATCAAATAATTTTGAACCGACGTCAATAGTAAGGTTTTCTTTTTGTAAATTTTTGTTTGTTTCATTTATTCTTGATAAGATTTTACTCCAAATTTCAGTAAGAACAATATTTTCCAACTTTTTCATTTTCTTAATTAAGCCATGGGTTTCGTTTTTAACATTTGGTGAAGTCTTATCATCTATTTCAATTGTTTTTAGAGCATCTAAAATTTCCTTGTAACCATTACACAAAGCAGTAACAGCATCAGCTCGAGCAGACCATCTAGTTTCTGATAGTGACTTTAAAACATGATGTGAGCCTAGGCACTTTTTCATGATACTCCAACGATAGGTAGAACTCGAAAAAAAATTATACAATTTTTGTACAAATTGAAAATAACTTACTGCTTCCATAACACATTCTGCTGCACGAACCCCTACCAAGTTCAAAGAATGAGCTGCACATGGAATAAAAATAGCAAAATTACACTTTTCTTTTATTCTAGCTTGTAGACCAGCATATTGTCCTGACATATTTGCAGCATTGTCATACGACTGGCCACGACAGTTATTCAAACTAATCTGATTTTTTTCAAGAAAAGATAAAATAACTTTAAATAAATACTCAGATCCATGTTCATCAATAGGAATAAATTCCAAAAAACGTTCAACTGGAGTATCATCATTAACATACCGAATAATGAATGTCATTTGATCAATATGAGAAAGATCAGGAGTGGAATCAACACTAATTGAATAATATTTAGCCACTTTTAATTCCGAAAGAATTGCATTTAGCACTTGTCTCCCCATTATGTTAATAAATTCATTACAAATATTAGCTGACAAATATGAAGGATTTCCTTTGCCTTGATTTCCATATTTATTTAAATGTTCTAAAAGAAATGGATCAAATTGGCTTATTAACTCTAAACAGCCCAAATAGTTCCCATTGTGTTGAGATCCAATTATTTGATTTTCTCCGCGAAACGCAATTCCTCGTGACGACAAAAATTTTATTACAGCAACAATTCTCTTTAATACTTCTTTCCAATAATTTACTTCTAAGTTTATTTGATAAGATATTTCTTGATCTATGCGACCATTATTTTTGGTCCTAACAGAAAAAGTCATGACAGATTCTCTGTGCATTAAGCTATTTTCATGCTCCAAGACAACCGTATGAACATGTTTCCAGTCATTAAATCCTTGTTCACAACTAAATCCAGTTTTTGTAGAAGAAAAGAGACGACATACAAAACAAAACAAAGCTTTTTTCGAGGGAGAATATAAAAGCCACGATCTATCGACATTTTCACCATTTTTTAGTTGACGAGTGAATATTGACTTGGTTAAGTGTCTCACTTTAATTTTACCATTTGATTCTGTATAATTTCGTGTGGAATTTGAAAAGTCACTATCTTTATTTTGAAAAAATTTGGAACCTTTTTTAATATACATATTTCGTTTTTCCTCAGTTAATGTATTCCAATTTCCGGGATCATTTGATACTAATGAATTGTCCTCAACTGTTTCTGGAGAATCAACGAAATATTTATTAGGGCTTAAAGTAGGATTTTGAGATACTTGTGATTGTTGGTTAATTGTTATCGTTTCTTGGGATATTGGTAAAACTAAATTAGTTTCTTCTTTGGGAGGAACAGAAGAAAAAAAATCTGTAAGCTTAGGTAAAGAATTTATGATTTTTTTTTCGTTGATTTCTTTTACGATTGCTCTCTGCCTCTTTGAAGCACCACTAGGATATGAACGCTTTGACATTTTGAAATGACAATATTTTTGTCGATAGTTAGAACATCTGGAAAAAATACAGTCGTCTTCTACAAATATTCGATTCTGCTCTATCAATTTTAAACAGTAACTACTAGACCGTCTAGACCTACATGCTACATGACTACGTCATATGACAAATTAAATACCTATTTTATAATAATACTAAGGAAACAGTTTGTATCAAATTCGCAACATTTTTAATAAATTAAATAATAATTTTAAATAAACTCTCGTCTTGAGCGTATCGAATATATCATAGATAAAATAATAGGTACACAGGAACTGAATACGATTCACGGTCGGCAAATTGTCAATCACTGGTGATGTAGAAATAATAGAAAGAAAAACAATCGTTAAAAACCTAATATTTTTCACACAAACAGATTTAATTATTGAGGTTCAGCACCTCCATTTCGACAATCATTCTTACACAGTTACACATTGATTATTTTCTTCGTCATAAACGCATAATTAAGAACCGTTCTTAAATTGTTATTTTCTATTTAGTTGAGTGTGTAATTTATTAATTTATAATTATAATAATAAAGAAAATAATAAATATTAAGGTTAGTGTAAAGTTTACTTACGTAAGACAAATTTTTTTTGAATTAAAAATTAAACGCACACGAGCCAAAATGTAGATATTTATGTGGATTATCCGATTATATGTGTGTGTAATGTTCTATGAACTGCAGCTGTACAGTCAACAATGACGATTGACAACGGCGTCGACGCTACAGCTTATAAGATAAGATATTTCATATTATTTTATAAATAGCACTCGCAATACTTCTATGTGCTTCTACGTAAAACAAATCGAAATAACCGATAACGGCGATAGCATAGCGCACGTAAAAATAATGTACGTGTAATGTGGACCAGAAATAACAATAAAATTTAGAAATTAATCAAATTGTATTATTTTGATACAAAGCTAATTTAAATATTTTTTCGTTCGAGATTTATATTAAAAACATTCAAAAAAATGTAAAATTATGATATTCGGTAAATAATGTAATCTATGTGAATTTGGGGCCCTTAAAATTTCGGGGCCCCGGGCCCGGGCCCTACGGGCCCATGCCTTAAGACGGCACTGTAGATATGCATTAAGGTATGCATGTGTGTGTGTGAGAGAGTTTATTCACCGTATTGTATCGGATGTCTATCGGTAATGCGATTCCGTATACATTGACAAAATATATTAGTTCCATTATTATTAGTTCTGCAACATAATATAGCGATTAGCTAAAATACAGTTACCATACAACGTATTTGTATACACTATGGTTTTTTTTAAGCTGACCTATGTATGATTCGTGAACAGTAATCAGAGGCGAAGTAAGTAGGTTCATAAAAATTAAAAAAGATTTGCTATTCCATCCACGTACCGGACACAAGTATTTAACTCTTACCGTGTTAGCCGGTTTTGTGATATTCACCGTACACATAATTCATCGTATCAAAACAAACATAAAATACGCGTTTTCTTTACATATATGTAATAAATAATAAATTACTTATTGAATATTATTGTTGAGTGCATAGAAAATGATAAGACTTATTCCGAGGAGATCTTAAGATGATTATGACATAATGATGTCTGAGGAGTTACATTTATATAACTGTGTGGTAAAAACTGTTTATTGAATTTCAATAGCACGTGTGGTTTTAAAAACAAAAAATTTGTAAGTATTAATTTCCAGAATTTTATTTATGAATCTTCAAAATTTTAAACGTGTATGAAGTTCAACTTTCAATTCCTTTTCTCATAAACATTAATTTTAAAGAGTATTTTATAAATATGTTTGCATATAAACTGAACGATACCTATAAATAACTTTGAAATATTATTAGAGTAAAAAATTACCTCAACGCGAACCAATTATTGGTAGTTCAAAAGCCAGCATTGTAAGGAGACCAAGTGATTATCTTTTGTCGTCAGAGTTGTGTCAAGCAACTCAGCGTCCCGGGGCAAAAATTTTTTGTGCCCCTCTACGATTTAATTACCTACTAATTGTTTTCTTATTATATAAATTTCCATGAGAGACCGCATGACACAGATCACAAATACTTACTAAAAAATAATATGCAATTTTTATTATATATAATTATCAATTTATTTTAATTAAAAATATTGATAACAAATTAATCGTTAACATAATTAATATATAAAAATACAAAAATACCAAACAATATTTTATAATATTTTCATCTTTATCTTTGGAAAATCTCTGAACTTAAATATTCCAATCAATACTTTTTACTACTTCAGACTCCTTGCACAAGCGGAATAAAGATGATGTTTTATAATTTGCTAATGATGAGTGGAGATGTGATCTTACACTTTTCAGAACAAGAAATGAGCGTTCACCAATAGAATTCGAACAAGGCATGCATGTAAATATTTTAAGTGCAATTTCTATCAATGCAAATATATAGTATATTATATTTTATTAATGCTTTTAATAAAACAAGAAAATCATTTTTTTGACTTACACGATACCATTTGTCTAAATTGTCTTAATTCTTCAATATATTCAATTCCTAAGTCATCTTCATAGATATTTACTAACTTTTCAATTTTTAATCGAAAGTCAGTTTGATCTATGTCTTTTAAATTTGAAAATAATCCAAATTTTTCATTTAAATCATTATATACTCCTTTGCGATTATTTAAATTACTAATTACAGCATTATTGATAGGAAAAATGGTTTTTTTTTTTTTTTGGGGGGGGCGGGGTAATGTGTTAGGATTATGTGTCCATGTTTTATGGAAAGAATAATCGTCTCTAGGTCTAGTATGGAAGATCATATGCCCGATATTGTTTTACACTGTTAAACCATAACTTCTCCCTAGGAGAATGATATATTTGTTATGTTTTTTTAAAGAAATAAATTTAATTTATAGCAGATTTAAATCCTGCTTTCTTCTTGAGACATGATTTTTGAATATTTTATAATTACATATTTTATCTTTGTAGTTCGTAATATTATTGATTATAAATATTTAGAATACAGTAGGCATTATTATAATTATAATCAATGGTAAAACACAGTATTCAGTAGTCAGTACAGACCACGGTCGATGAAATTGTAACGGATTTTATAGGGATTTTCTATGAGAAAAACTAAATAGATTTATATTTTCAACGTTCACCACGCACAGTATTCCAGAAATTTAAAAAACGGGACAAAATGAAAAAAATAAAAAATTGTATATCTTAAATGTGATTTTGGAATTTGATAATGCATATGTTAATCTATTAATTATTGCTATTTAAGTTGTTATAACATTATTATTGTACCAACGACATTAGTATAAAAAGGGGGATTCCAACACAGCCGCCACCACCATGACCAAATATTTTTTTTTTTTCATTCGTTCACGTAACCTATACCTACAAAACTACTTCCCCTAATACTTCCCCTTATTTAACATTTTTTTCTTTTTTGTTCGTTTACGTAACCTATACCTTCGTCACTACTTCCCCTAATTTAAACAATTTTTATTCCATCGTTGGCATAACTTACCTATAATAACCCCTCTTTATTCCACATAACGTATATTATGCATCAACTACACCTATCCTTTTACTTCCCCTCATACAAAATTATTTAAAACGTTATTATAAGACTTTACAAATATATTATTTTCAAACGATTACACATGATACATATATATTTATATATTCACGCATACATATATATTCATATATAAAATTATTTAAAATGTTATTAAGTATATTATTCAAATTTTTAACACAATAACATCTGATCATCTAATAGTCATTTCCAGGAATGTTAGTGACTGCGCGTGTAAGGCTTCTAATGCCGGTGGAAATATGTAATTAGTATTGGTGCTATTTAATACAATACGATAATAGAAAGATACAATTCCACTAATATACCATTCAAATATTAATACGGAAAGATAAGCACGATAACAACACAATTAACGAATACTAGAACCGTTATCGAGTTGTAACATCGTCATTTCCAGGAATGTTAGCGACTGCACGTGTAATGCTAAACGATAGAGTCATGCAATTAGTATTGTAGATACAATTTCACTAATACACCTTTCATATATTAAACGACCATATTTAAAAGAAAGACTAAATATATTGCTTATCGATACATGTTCGAATTCATTGCATACCAAATTATCAGAAAAAATCCAAATTATTCTATACGAATAATATTATTATAGAAATATGGTTTACCACCCCATCGGCTTGTTGTACACATTTTTCCGAGAATTAGTGAAATCGTCAAAAATTATGAGCTCTTGGCACATCAGAAGTCGAAATGCGATCATTGTGTCCTTTAGTCTTCTACTGGTCACACGTTAGTCTCTGCCCGCTCAGTGTTTTCACAGTCGTACTCCGGTTTTTACTCTCATCGCTAGGTTTTATTTTTATCGTTGTGTTATTTTAAACATATTAAATATGTTCAAGTGCGTTCAGTGTAACAGAATGTTCTCTAGCAAAGATAATTTAGTTAGACACAATAAAATCCACAAAAATGTTCAGTTTACATGTGAAATATGTTTTAAGACTTTTGCCCGTAAAGATAATTTGGCAAAACACACGAAGAATATGCATGGTATGTATTTTCAATTAAATAAATACGATTATAATAATTATTTCATTTTTTTTTTCAAAAATATTTTAATTAAATATTTAAAAAGCTTATTACATTTAATTTTCATTCGATAAATTTTACAATAGAATTAATAATTATTATTTAACTAAACATTTACAAGTGTATACATATAATTTTATTTTTAAAATGTTTACAATTTTTCAGCTAATATTGTTCGACGTAATGAACATGAAATCGCTTCGGAGATTTTTGTTCCCGACATACCTGCCGGTCCATTAGATGAAATTTTTGATTCCGATTACGAATTGTGTGTGCTGGTGATGGAAGGCACTGAAAATATCGGTTTTTGCGAAGGTAAGATTTTTTTTATTAAATATAAATCGGATAATTCTAGTTTGAATCAGTTTATATATCTAACGGGGTTATTTTTTTTCTCTCCGTAGGGCTTGAAAATTGTAAACGGGGAAATTCGAAGGATATAGGTCAGATAAAGAGAGCCAGGTTAAATTTAGTAGGAAATGCGACTGGTTTTGTCAACGTTGGATCATCTTTCAATAATATTATCACTTGGTATTATAAAAAAAACTTGGAAAATATATTCAATCATTCTATCTTTCTCAGCTCAATAAAATCAGAACTAATCGAAATTTTAAAATCATCATCAAAACCACTCAAATTCAATCTTAAACTAGAAGCCACATATAACAAACCACATGTAGATAATTCGTCCGTGAACAGAGCGTTCAAGACCTCGGCCAGGGCAAGTAAATATTTGTTTTTATTTTTACTGTATATATTTTATTTTATTTATCATTTAATTATTTTAGGTACATAAAGTTATTGAGTTCAATCAGTCGTTATGGTTAGCAAAATACATAAGTTTGAACACCGAAATGCGAAAGAAAGCTGTGAACGAGTTCGAGAAAGATTTTTTTAAACTTTTAAATAATGCAGTTTTCGGTATGTTAATATTATTATTATTATTATTATTTTATAGGGAAAACGATGGAAAGCATGAGAAAGATAATAAAAATGGAACTTGTATCTAGCGAACAACGTGTACAGAAATTAATAAACCGACCTACGTTCAAGTATATCACATCGTATAATGAAAAATTATGTGTAGTCTCGTTAGAAAATAAAATCATTGATTTTTGCAAACCAATCTATATAGGTATGTATATATTATTATTTTTTAAAAATTCACTAAGATAATCTAATTATGCTTATAGGATTCGCGGTACTGGACATCTCAAAAACTTTAATGTATGATTATCATTATAATGTTATGAAAGCGCATTACAACAAAGCTCTTAATAATGATAATCATACATTAAAGTTTTTTTCAATATTTCATAAATCATAAAAGTACTATCAGATAAGCTTTAAGAACATATTACTATTATTATTATTATTTATTTAAATTGAATATTTACTATACATACATTATTTTTAATATGCTCAAATTATTTAAATTAAAAATCAAATATTTGTTATGTAAAATTAATTTTTAAAAAGTAGCACATAATTGCACAGTCAAATCTATTAGATAGGTACTATAACAAAAATAGTCATTAATGTTATTTTATAATTTCTAGCTGCAATTATTTGCAAGTTTCTTTTTTCAAAATAAAGTTTTCTTTAATATCAATTGTAAAAACTACAATATTTTTTTTGTTGTATTTTTAGTATTTATTTATAATTTTTTTAGCTATTTAAATGGACGTATACATAATATCTCGTAGAGATTTATGGGCTCAAATGTAACTTAAATGTAAGAATAATTATAATATTAACAATATTCATGAATTTGTTAAAAATAAACTTAAAACCCTCAAATTTGTATCAAAAGAAAAATAAATGGAAATTAATAATCAGTGTAAGTTTTTCAAAATGAATTTGAAAAACGTTAGAAAAAATGTAATCGTACTAAAAAACGCTTTGAAAATTTTTTTTGTTCTAGGTTGGATCAAAAGTTTGAAGTTACCGTTTTCAATATTAATATTATATGTTCGAATGTTGGATGTCCTAAAACTAATTTTTCTAAAGCAAGCACTAAAACTAAATTAATAAGAAGATATATTTTATAGGAATTTGTAGGTATAGATGAACTTACTTTTGCTTCAAAAATTTAACTGGTTAAACTGAAGCATCTAAATTGTTAATAGAAGCTACCAAGACTACCAAGACTACACCTACTTGACTTAAAAAAATTTGGGACTCTTATATAAAAAACAGTGTTTTTCCTGTAGAAATGTACTCAGAAGAAGAAACTTTGGCTTTAATGATTAATGCGAGACTTACTAAATCGCAATACATGTTGATTAGATTAAATGCTAAACCTAAGAATGCTAATATTTATCCCCCTTATAATAAAATTATTGAAGCTAAAGCTGGATGTTAATTTAAATAAAAGTATGTTAATTACCGAAAAAAGTGCTGAAGTTTAACTTCAAACCTTATTAAACCATACTGTATGTCATATATTTTTATCGATTGATAATTCTTTGAACTTAAATTATGAATCAAAAAACTATGTTTTAATTAAGAAAGAGTAGTCGTAAAAATGAATGTAGATTAATAATAAATAAATAATATGTTAAATTAAATAAATGAAAAATACCTACATTTCGTAAAAATATTTATTATTTATTAAAATACTTGTAAAACTCATTCAAAATCTAAGCTTTTAAATTCATATTTTATAAATAATTAGGCGTTATTTTACATTTTTACAATTTTGTCCCTTTTTTAAATTTCTGGACCACTAAGCTACGATATTCTTTGGGACATGTATCAGTTTCCTTCGACCAAATGTACCAGTTGCCCTCACACATTAATATATATAGATCGTAAAATAGGAGAAGTAAATATAAAAATCATAAATAAAATATAAATTTATTTATAAAAATAAAGTAAAATAGTACAAAATTATAGAGTCAAATTCATAATAAATAATCTAATTATTATGATAAGTGATATATTCAATATAAAAATGCTTCTGCGAATGGAGTTTACATCATTTAATGTTATATCATAACATTTGATTGAACTTCTTCTCGTATTAATTTTAATGGATATTTAGAAATTTTATCCACAGCTTTCCAATTTAAATTATTAGAAATTGTTACTTTTGTTAAATTTTTACGCGGCGAATGTTTGTGTTCGATAACCGATTTAAAATGATTTATCATATCATATATCATATTTATCATTTAATGATAATAATAATATAATGAATAATAATTTAATTTAATAATTTCTAACAACCATAAAAATACTAATAAAGATATAATAAATAATAATTATTATCCATTCATACGCATCTAAAATTACGCGTTTTGGTAAAATACTTGCTTTGCACCAAATAGGTTATTATTTATTAGTTATTACAAAATACAATATTATATATTATAATTCCAATTTCCAAGTCTATTTATTTCTATAAATAATTTTATATTTTATTTATAATTTGTATATTTAACTCCTCTATTTTACGAACTATAAATTGTAATTGTGTATATATTTACATGTAAGGGTAACTGGTATATTTTTAAAATCTCGATAACAGGCGAAAGGGACAAATAGTCATTACCCATTCTTTGTTTATTACTTATAAAATTATAACCATATTTGGTTTTCGGGGAAACAGGTAGCATATTCAGTGCAAATTAAGGCACCCCTTTACTTTTACAAAACTACGGCGCCCGGGGGCAGTTTCCCCCATTGCCCCCCATAATATAACTGTGTTTGTCGCGTACCTAACTCATACTATTTGGGTATATTAGAAATCAGTTACTAATCATCAATTATTATATATATAAAAAAAAAAAAAACGATCCTGTTCCGTAGTTGGAATATATTTAAAGAACGATTTTAATAATTTTTATAAAATAGTATGAAATGTATCTATCATGAATAACGACATGTTCTTTTTTTCGAAAAGATTCATGATCTAGGTGATTATTTTAGATAATAACGTACATTTTGATCACATTTTTTTTTATTAATATTTATGTAATGACAACAACTATAGCTATTATGATTTAACAACATTAATAATATTTATATAAAATCAAAACGAAAAAAAATAATAATCATGATTCCTACATTTAACATTAATAAATAACTTTAATATTATTTATCCGTATTAAATATTTCGTTCAATAAATGTATATTTTACCCTCGATGCACATATTATTTATATAGCATAATAACTAGGGCTCTCGGTTTGGTACGTGTACACGTAGTCCGAACATTAAATAATAATATGTAGAAATACCCGTGTATTTAATTACACGTGTTTTTAAAGTTCGTGTACACGTGTATTAAAAGTTCATAAACCCATATATTATATTGTAAATATAATGTGTAAATATTCAAAATTTAAAAAACTAATTATAGGTACTTATTTGTATTTTTTCATTAATAAGGGGTTGTTTCTGGTCATGAATTTGATAAATATATATATATTTATAATTTTTAGAAAAATCAAATACGAAATTTATAATTTATATTATTTTGTATGAAACAAATTTGTAATTTATTAAATGAATTGTCTTAGTCGTATTTGTAAGTTATTTTTATACTGTTTTTACTGTAAAATATATTATAATACAATCGTATATATAAAACTCAAATTAATAATTATTCATTTCTTATTAAAAAAAATTTCCTATTAAAAGGTAAATTAAATTTGTGTTTACTTTATGTAAACACTAATGGGGGAGGGGCACATAGGGCACGTGCCACTGTTATCCATCCTTGTATCCTCCACTGATTATAACGTATGAACTTTTAAAACACTAGTTACACGGACTCTAAATACACGTGTACACGTGTATTTTATTAACATGCATTTTAGCACTGTTTCTATAAAAACACGTACGAAACGTATTCTTAAATACACGTGAAATAGAGACCCTTAATAATAACTATGAAAAATATAAAATATATTTATAGAATTTATATATGTATCTCAAATATTTGGATGATATTTTTTTCATTTTAATTTGGAATTCTAGTCACGAAGAACGATAGAACCTTATATACATTAACAACTGATATTAACTCTTAACAATATTAATAATTTTATATTATAACAATTATTGGTCAAATAGAAATAAACGATGTAATATTATTTAATACTCGTAAATTGGTATAAAACTACGGAGATAAACGTAATAAATAATTTAATAGTTAACAAATCTTTCATAATTCTGGTCTACCATAATAGCATCGAAATATTGTTGGATGAGCTTCAACATGAAGTTATTGCTGGTGAATGGCCAAAATGTGTCCATGTAACCCACGTGACCGCCTCCGGAAGTCACTAGAATGGCCAAACTGTCGTGTTGGTTGGCTTCTTGCACGGGAATATCTGTCAAATGTAACAAAACCGTATATAGTAATTGGATTCAAAGTAATCGCATAGTCGCGAATAGTGTTTGAAACCCAGTATGAGGAGAGTGAAGTCCAGGTGCGAGCAATTATTATAAAATAGGAATAAAATATTAAAACAATTATACGTAAATTTTTCATTTAATTGTTCACTATATACACTTTATATTCAATATAAAAAATTGTTGTCCGAATTGTAGTATTTAAAACCTTTGAGTCTCCCACACGATTTTGTTCAGCGGAGCCCAATTATTCATAAAACATTATGTATTTTTATAATACTGTGTGATAAATACTTAATATTTATAACAATTTACAAGATTTTAGATACCTCCTGGAATTTTTTTAGAGAGGATATATATGAAAAATTATTTAATTAATGAATTCTCCAAGACCCCTAAGTCAGTCTCTTATGGTGCTCCGATACGTATGCCACTATATTTATAAAAATGGACGCCACAACCACATGTGTTGTCTTACAAATGTAAAAAATGGCAAATATAGTTTCAGTAGAATTTACCTGGTATGATCGATACTTTTTATATTAGATCAGTATTATCCAACTTAAAGGGAAAAACATTATGTTTATTTTTACATCAGTTGTTTTACGATATTTAAGTTTTTACATAGGTTATGAGTTTTTATTTTTAAATTGTAATATTTTATGTATTCAGTTAAAAATTCAAATATCGTAATAAACGAATCTACAAGAACATATGTTGTATTGTACGTTATCTTATCTAAATTGTATAACTCTTCATTTTATAATCGAATATTAGAGCTAATAACACGACACTTTGAAGATACAACCTATGCGGATGTGGCATACTCTTTAGTGTAATATTAAGAACTTGATTAGTCGCACGTGCCCGTTCGAGTATACCTCTGAAATACAGAAACGGATCGTCAGCTGCGCTCAAACAGAGACAAGGCACATTGATCAGATGCAGTTTGTTGCTCAAAGATGCATCCTCGTAGTAATGGTATACATTAGAGTAATTGAACATTTTAATGGTATACGCTGTGTCGAACTCTCGGATGGTGTTACACTGTAACAATATATTTAAAAAACAATCTGTTGGGTAAACAAATGTAATTTTGATATTTTAAATGTATTATAATTTTATATAAGAGTGTGAGCTTTACCAACCTTAATTTATTTCGAACTCATGTACATAATTGTCGAGATATCATAATGTAATGTTAAAATCTCATTAAAAAAAAAAAAAAAAATATAATTTTATATTTGATACTCATTAAGTATATATTATATTTACAATTTATTGAAAAAGTTATATCTATCAGCGAAATTTGTTTTTTACGCGTAACATTATATTGTGTATTTGATAGAACGCCATGAGACGTATATTACATACGATTAGCATTTTTAATTAGGCAGTCATATGTATTGTGTAAGTCATATCATAGTATATAATCTATACTATAGATGATAGGTACAGTAATCATGGGCTGAAGTTTCGACCTTGAGAATATGTTATTTTGCAAACTGTTCAATAAATATTATATCATTAAATATATTAGTTATCTGATTGTATGCATATTGTAACCATTGAAGTATGATTTTTCCGGAAGTAGAATCGAGCATAGGAAACGAAAAAAATCATATATGATATGTACGAAAAAAATAATTAACCGATCGAGTGTAAAGTATTCGATTTGCTTCGCATTCTACGTTGATAGTTGTATTAATTAATAACTTACAACATTTAACAACAGTCATAAATCGTTGATTAAAAAAAATAATTCCTAAATGAAACTGAGTTTAATCATGTTTTATTGAAACTCATTTAGAAAACAAAATATTAACCATGATTTTTAAAAAGTTCATATAAGATGAAATTAGGTATTTTCGAGGCATGTCTATGCCTAACTTCATGATATTATTTGTTGAACATATAATGTAATTCCCTAATACACGATTAACTTGGAAATTACATTGATCCTTAAAATTACTGTGTTTTAACTTATTATGTATAGTCAGTATACATATATAGATATATATATATATCAGTGAGACTGAATTATTGGTGATTATATCTCAAAAACGACGAAACTTATGAACTTTAAATTTGAATTAATTAATTAACCGAAACAGTGTTTCAGTTCATAAAAAATATTGAAATTTGGTAAGACCTTTTTGACATTAACACAATTAAGATGATTAAAATTATCAAATTTATTTTCAACAAACTATAGTATAATATGGAAGTTCTATTTTTATAGAAGTCCAAGAGGATTATCATTAATGATGTTGTAAATGAAATTCTGGAAAATAATTTAAAAATATTTATGGACAAATTATATTATTTGTATAACCAATCACCAAAAAATCAAAACTAGTTCAAATAAATAGAAATTTCTTTAGAAAAACAAATTTTAAAAATAGAAAGAATTTTGTCTCTTCGCTAGGCTGCGCCTAGTAATTGAACTATAAATGCTGTCATAAATATTTGTTTGATTCATTATAAACTTTTTAAATCTGCTTCAACATATGTAATAAGGAATTAAAAAGAAAGAAGCAAATAATACAGGTTAAAATTAATAATCTCCAGCATTGAATTTATTAGTAATCTCAATGCAATGGCAGATGCTTTAGATGAACTAGGAGACTTATCGGAATATTTACAGAGACGTAATATCATTCTTGTAAAAGTTTATAAAGGTACTAAAATAACAATAAGAGTATTTGATTTGATGATAAGCGAGTCTGTATATAAACTTACCAGCACTTTACAAGAGATTGAATTTAATATTTATAAAAATATATACATTCAAAATAGTAAGGTAAAACAAATTAATACAAGCTCACTTGTCACTACAAGGTTTTAACAAATTATGTATGAAATTGAATGATAATAACTAATTCATCACATGTTGGCAATCAAAATGAAAAATATCAACATGTAAACATATATAATTATAAAGATTTACTTGATAGTCTTAGTGTACTAGATCCAAAAAAATGGCCTACTTTCAAAAATGGTAAAGTCAAAAATATTCAATTTAGAGATGATAAATGATGTTACTTGTATCAATTAAATTGTTCGGGGTTTTTGAATAAACAAATCGAAAGGAGGATAAGAGGTGTTCAGAACGCCTTAAAAATATTTTTTAAAACTGTAGCTACTATTACTATTTATGCAAATTAGTGCGAGTAAAATTTCAGCTCAGTGAATGAAATTATAATCCCCCTAAAAATCTTCATTAAATATTAATACCGTCTCTGTACTTTTATTTATTAATTGTGTTGGCCCTCCAATCATTGAATTTCATCCTTAAAAATATGTACACTCATGATTAGTCAAAAGTAGACATTCAGCTGATGACACTACAAGTCGTAAATGTAAAAAAATGACAAAATGCTGTTTATGATATCGAAATAGTAATTGCCCTAATCTAAAAATAGTAAATTATCTCCGGAGTGAAACCGGGTAATTCAGGTAATCAAGAAATAAAGTTATATGTGGTGTTAAAAATGGTTAATAAAATACGTTTAAAAAATGTAAATAATAAACTTTTAAATACAATTTGCTTTATATTTAAATTATAATATAGGTACTCTACTAAACAATTTTTTTTTAAATCAGTTTTAATTAAATTTTTAACAATTAATGCTCAAATAATTTTTGATATATTGCGAAAGAATGCAAATTATATTATTCTAGTAATGAATAATATACTTGTACATATATACATTATATATTAATATTAGTATGACTTTAAATAGTTGTAAAATTTATAAATAAAAATTATTTTTTCTGCTAAGAAACTAATTAAAAAAATTAAACCAAATGCATAACATTAAGTATTCAGTTATGTGTATTTTCCGACCAGTTTCGAATTAAAAATGCATTACCAAATAAACCATAAAGTCAATAAATTAATTAGGACAGGTATTTTGTATATTTATTTACGTATATTAACAATTTACTAATTTTTGTTTTATTTTATTATTTTAATATTTATTTTATAGCTTCGTAATTATAAATGTAATTGCAAGTTAATTATATTACTGGGAATTTTTTTAAGTTTTTTGTATAATAGACTATTAGAATATAGTGTAAATTACTTAAATTACTTTCTATATATCTTATTAAGATAATTTGTATAATAAATGAATATTACATTTTTTCTTACCTGTTTAATAATATTGTAATCCAATGAGGTGTTATTATCTTGATCAAAAATTATGTCTTTGTTCCTAGAACCCCATAAACATAATGCTTAAAATATGATTAATAATAATAAACTATATAATATTTTAATTGATTAAAAATTATAATTAAAGTAATTTTTTCAGTGCACTCCTAGACATATTATGTATTTGCGAATGCACTATCAATATTGTTAATTAACATAAGAAAAATCGCAAATAACAAAAGAATTTAATAAGTATAGAAAAAATATTAATCATAATAATAACAATAATAAGCAATTATATCAAATTGTATTTATCATGTAATTGTTTTGATTGCGAATAGAGTAAATTGGGTAAAATATTGTACAGTTGTAAACTACGTTTATTCTTGAGCATTACTCAATTTTTCTATAACAATAAAATATCTAACATCAAAATTTGAATTATTTTCAATAATGAACATTCAATGTAACTTCCACGAGGAATAGTAATTGAAATATACAATAAAATGTAGGTAAATCTAATACGAATCATTGTGTTTATTTATAAAAACAATATTTGTATAAAAAATATTTTTGTTTATCTACATTTAACACTCACTTCAAAACGACATTACGTAAGTGATGTGATAAATTTTGGCCCATTTTTCGCATCAGCCAGGAACCTTCGGCGTTTTTACAAGCCTGTGTTACATTCCAAGGCACTGAAATCAATATTCCCGTGACTAAATGTTTATTTTCCGCCTGTTCACGTGACATTAAAAATGTCCCCAGTAACGTTCTGCAACGATAGAGGTAAGATGTAAAAGACTCTGAAGCTTACTTTTTTATGGCGGAAGTTACTAACTACACAATATGCTCAAGAAAGAACGTACCAATCAAAACCGTCTTCGACATAAAGTTGCTGTAATTTTTTTTTTTTTTTTTAGAAACGTATAATAAATTATAATAGTTTAAATAAAAAATATTTATATATTATCAAACACGTGCAGAAAATATGATTATATAAACCCTTTTAAATACCACTCACGGGTCGATAAAAAAAAATGTTCGATACTTCAATAATCAAAAAGATATAATAGTGTTTTGATCAGTGGCGCACACAAGATTTTTTTCAGGAGGGGGGTCAAGGTAAAAATATAGCATATTTTACAATTAACAAAATTATGCAAATCCTTTTATCCATATATTTTGACTTAAATAATAGCATTGATAATATAATAGACTATTCTATAATCGATGATAGTAGGTATTTAATACTAGTACTTTAATACTTCATATTTCAAACTTGTAAAATTTGTAAATTTTAACCTAGACATCGGAGAAAATTTCAGGGGGGGGGGTTACAACCTCTTAGCCCCCCCTGCGTGCGCCACTGGTTTTGATAGTATAAATGGTTCAGGTGTAATGCTTCTTCTACACTCTCGCGAGCTTGCCTCGTCACAAGGTTAAACGACGCGAGGCAAAGCGAGGTACTAGCTCTACACTCTTGCCAAACCGACGCGAAGCAGTTATCTACATTCTCGTTTTATTCAGTTGTCGGATTATTCATGATGGAATTTGTTTATTTTTCAGTTTATCAATTGGCTTATTAAACACATTAGTAATAGTAACAACATTAGTAATATTAAATTATACTAAAATATTTAAAATAAAATTAGCATCAGTTCATTCAAAATGAAATGAAACGTACACATGTGTCAATAACTCTCCGATATTAAAACTTCATTAAAATATTTATTTAAATTAAAATCCGTTCCTACACATTACTAATTACAATCCAAGCATTATTTGCTTCGGTCTTATATTTATGCCAACAATTCTTTGGATCCCATAAATAGGCTTAGATTGATAAGGCTCCATAAATTCAATTGCTTCTTCCTTCGTTAGTCCAGTCAGACATTTTAATAAACTATTGAACGTAAAAAAAAAATTTAACCACGTAAATGACTAAACTATAAATAAATAAACCAAAATCAAACGGCGGTTTTGAAACTAGACAAGCACGAGACAGTTTGAGACAGCCTCGGCGAGAGTGTAGTGCCGGCAGTGGATGCTTAATAAACTTCCTATTTTTCCCACAAGCTAAACCCAGTTTCTAACTATTTATAATTTGATTTTAAAGAAAAAATGTAATCGCAAATTAGTAAATTTAATAGCTGCAAGTATACATTTGCTAAAAAAATTAAAAAAGAAATTTACAGCTTTCTTGATTTGAAATTTTATTATTTACAGACTATAAAATATTTAAGATATCTTTAAACTTTAATGATTGGACTCGAAAATTTGTAGTCAATACTTTACCTATGGTTTTGAAATATTTGTAAATATATTGTATATTTTAATTCACTATATAATAATATAATATACTAATAACTTAAAGCTGGCGAGTATTTAAGTAAATATCTTGATTTGTTTTTAACGCTTTGTGAAATATGGAGACGGTCAAGTTGTAGATGTTGAGTGTCCCCGTCTAAACATAATTTTTTGTATTAGATTCAATTATCAACGGAAGTAAATGTTTACTAATATTTTAAATTACGTATCAAAACACTTTTTATCAAATGTTTTTTGGTCGTTTACAAATGCAGTTAAATTGCTAAAACATCGAATGCATAAAATCTCAATACTTTAATTACGAACACGCATAACACTTACAAAGTTATATACTGACATACGGATATGTTCGGAAAATATTTCAAACCCATCGAGAAAACGTTTCAGGGACTTGACTAAATTCAATAATGCGAGGCATGCTTAACACAATGTATGTCATACAGTAACTGGACCTTGAAACGTTCGCCCTGACTTGTATAATACGTATACGTAGCTCCGTCACACCAATGCATCAGAATAACTATATATATTATAGAATAACGACGATTTGAAACATGCGCATGCGATAGATGTCGGCGAAAATAGTAACATAAAAAACAAAATCATCAATAAACACTGCTTAGTGGTTCGGAAACGAGTTTCCGTTCAAACAAACACCGCACAATGTGATGGCGATACCTTTGGTACGTTCGTTCTCAACTATAGAGTGCGTACGCTACAGCTACAGCCGTGGCAAGGGCGACGGCGACAATGTTACCCGCCCATCGAGAATCCTATGCCAGCGATCGGGCTGTTTGGCCGTTTGGACTTGACGTGCTTCAAAGCTTCGGTCAGGTCTTCGATGTTGGTCGCCGAATACGTGCGGGCAGTCTGTCAAAACGTATACAGTCGCCAGCTAATAATTAAACCGAATAACCAACGAACACATAGATAATGGTTGACAACATTGTTACCAGTACCAACTATTCTGTACATATCGCTGTATATGTTATGTACCTAAACATGTGATCGATTATTGAAAACTTTCTAACGCGTTGTATCGATTGAAGGTGAACGTTTTCAATATTATTTTGTTTACATTTCACATTCATTTTGGTAAACACTATAATACGATTGATTGGATTGGGTGCTGTTTATTTTTACTCAAACCAAAATTGAATTTACATAGGTCGTAGCAAATAGCAGTTATTAGATGATAGACTATATTAGTTGTCTTTGATCGCTCATACTGTTTTAATTTTTAACTTTAACTTATAAAATAAGTAGGGATATTAGATTTGTCACTTGAATTTTAAAAACTTGACATTTCAACACTTTTATGTGGTTTTATATTTGTTAAAAATGTATAGTTGACATTTAGCTTCGTTTAAAGAAACTTTAAGCGGAGTTTATTATTATGTTTTCCGAGAAATAAATTAAATTTAAATTTATAAAAATAAAAAATAATGATTTATAATGGTAATAAAATAATAGAAGTATACATAAATTATTTTTTAAAATACATATTGATAAAATTTAATTGTGTAGTTGGGATTTTGGGATTTAGGTCAAGGCCATCTATAATGGTTAATACATGTATGTTTAACCAATAATACATTAATAAACTGATAGAAGAACCGAATGATTTATTTTTTGAAGACTCTTGAATATACCAAAATATTATTTTTAAATGAACGATTAAAGATTATGGTATGTTGATAATATAATAGGGATGATAATTTTTATTTTACGTTTTTCAAAACAGCAAAACCAAAATATATGTTCATGAATTTTTAGTTTTTGTTGAACCTATTCATTTTAAAATAATTTTTATTGTTATCCTAAATATATTTTTGTTACAATGATTGCTACTTCTATTCAATTTTTTTCCTTTAGAAGTCCACACTATGGGGTCTTTATAATTTACTTATTTGAAAAGCGACGATTAAATCATTGAAACGGTTCAATTATATTGTTTGTTCAATGTACATTTTCTAATGGACTTTCAAAAACATTTCACACCAATGAAGAAATAACGTTTCTATTATAATAACCCTTCTTAGAAAATCCAATTTATATAAGACATATTATTTTGAAATATAAATTTATTTATAGAAAACATCTTGGCTCTATCGGGAAAAACTAAATTTTTATAAATTACAGACTCAAATTACAAATTTTTTTTATAAAAGATAATTATTACAATTACCTACTTATTTTTGGTTATTTCCTTCATACCGCAAATTTACAGCATATAACAGCATTATTATTGTTTAATGAATTAAATTAATTAGTATTAATTTTTTTCCTATTATCATTTGTACAGCAAATTTAAAAAATAATAATACGTTAGCTTACATTTTGTTTCTGATATTTTAATATTCATATACCTACTAAATGAAAACATATACTCGTACAGTTCATGCATCAAATAATTTTTATTTACTATAAACCGTTTTACCTTGAGCTTTACACCACCTCGGCCTCTGTAATTGAAAACGACACAACAATAACCCTTTTCAAACAGTTTGTTTACCGTTTCTCTGATATATTCAGCCTGACTATCACCCGTTATCCCAGTGAGAATGACGATAGTGATTAAACTTTGTGGACCATCGGATTTCGGATATCGCCAATCGATAGCGATTTCGCCGCCGTCGCTTAACGTCAGTATCTCCCTATAGATAAAATATGACATGATAAAATAATATTTTTCATTAAACAAACTGTAATAATATCAAATCAAAACTAGAGCTTGAATGTTAATAACCAATATTTCATAAAAATATGCATTATAAAATGTCATAATATGCAATTATATGCCATAAATTGTATTAAATATACCTATTTTTTTCAACAAATATATGCAAAAAAATAGTTAATATTAATTCAAAAAATATATATACTTTTTTGAATGTGTATTTAAAATTGCTTTATTACAAAAAATACAGCTATTAAATACGAAAAAAAAATATTAATTAATTTTCGATATATTAAAGTTAAATTTTGCCTAGGTTAAGCATTTTAAGTATCAAGATAACACTGTACAACAATAATTTTGCTGATATTTTCAAAATTGAAAGATCTTTGACGATCCGACTAGAAGTTTTTGTAGACTGAAAATAACACAATTAACGGTAATGATTTATAATTTATAATAATAGTGACAATTTTTAATATTATACTTATAATTTATAAAATATATGCTACTTAACCTAGAAACAATCGATATATGCACATATATGATCAAAAATTTCAATTATAGAAAAATAAGTTTGCATATTTGCAATCGAGATTTCATGAATCGAATTCATATCATATTAGGGTATAATTCTGGTTGCGCGAAAAAAATATGCCAAGTCATAAACATCCAAGCTCATTATTAGTAATAAGTTATTACTAATAATGTACATAAATCATCAAGTTTTTTAATAACCTTACGGTTTATCTATAAATGACCATTAATTCACTTCCAAAAAAAGCGAGTAATGATAATCAATTTATGCGAATAGTCAAACCAAAATAAACAATTCATAAAATATATTCAGTGTTTACGTTTTATTTATATGTGCAATGTAAATCCACGTGAAATTATTTTTACATTAACATTTTTAATACTTCAATTTTCAGTTATGATTAATATTATTTAAATAGCCTACACAAAAAGCCTTAAAACTGACTTTGTTGCGTCCTCAACGTTCAAGAAATATTTCAACAGCAAATGATTAAAAAAATTACTTTTATTATGAATTTAATAAATTATTGACAAAGAATATAATAACTGTAATATAATAATATAATAACACGTAAAAAAATGTACTCTAAGTCAAATCTATTTTATAATCGATTTTATAATTTTTTAAATTAATATACAAGGTAAATTAGATATTATAATTGATCAATCATTTTAAATATGTAGTTTATTCGTATTAAACTTAACAAATGATTTTATAATATTGATAGTTTGCTAAAAATGCGATTTTGTGTATTATTTATAACATTACAACATTAAATTCACTTATCCTTGGATAATACATTAAACCAAAATGTATTTATCTTACTGTTTTTTAATATTTCAGTATAAACTACTTTTCCCGTCCTTTATGATTTTATCATGTAAATTAATTGTGTATTTTTGTTTTAAATTGTTTTTATCACACAGCCATAATCAAAATTATCTCTTTCGTCACTGACGTAAGTTTTATAAAATATAACGTGTATTTTCTTATTTCTCTCTTATTGATCATATTTTCCGTATCGAAAATTAAAGCCTTCTCTTCACTACATAGTTTTAAATTTAATAAATACCATATAAAATTCATATATTGTATGATTAATACTCGTATGAAAAAAAGGATAGTTTTGATTTACAAATAAATGACAACTTACCTTTCATAAACTACTGTAGGTATAATCATATTTCTAAATAACGTGGCCAATACTGTGTGTGTGTAACCATTAAAACCCCAAATTGATGGTAAATATTTTTCATTGACAACAGGTACATTTTCAATAAGAAATTGTTTGAATTTCCCATCTTTGCAAAACAACATAGATGTCTAAAACAAAAATGGAATAAATAGAATCATTATTTAATTATAGGTTGCTCGCTTATAAATATAAAATTTTATGATTTGCGCTAACAAGTTCTATTAATTCAATATTTTGTTATTTATTATAAATTTCAAAAACAAATTTCTTCTCGATTATATGCACTTCAAATCCATTTAACATTTGGTTTTTAAAATATTCTGTAGCTATAAGTATTCATGAATACTAACACAGAAAGTATTCTATAAGGAAAACACGGTTTCTCAACGGCTTACATATTACGGAGAAATAAGCATTTCCTATTTAAAGAGTGGGTAAGGTCGGAAAAATTTAATATTTTTTTTATTTAAAAGTTAAAGCGGTAAATTTCAAAAATATTTAAATGTATGTTATTAAAAATAATAAAACTTCTGTTTCATAAATTAAAACCTTTTCTTCGGTGTTCAACTATCATTATTATGATGATATAAAAAAATAAAAATAAAAATAGGTCATTAAATATTGATAGGAAGTTACGCCAAAAGCTTTGAAGAGTGGCCGATGAGTATGTGATACTATATGTATTGCCAACTATTGTATGACACGTACTATTTTATATCACGAACAATAATTGGCCATCGATTTCAACCGTAATTAATTACTATTTAGCAACGTCTGCGGTGACATGGATATACATAATATATCTATATACATACATGTAATATAATAACAATTGTAGGCCTACGCCTAAACTTACGCCGACTCACGGACCACATTTATCGCGGTCATAATATTTTCTATCAGAATGTCATGTAAGTATGCAAAGCGCGTAGGGTGCGAACATTTGCGTGTTTGTATGGCGAAATTACGAAATCGATAAATAGCCGACCGACCGACACGGTATTGAGAATATTCCTATTGGGATATAACTTGTATGCTACCGTGTATAACGAGATCGGATGCTGTGCCAGTATTGTAGTAAAAAAACTGGCGCACGCATCTGTTCGTCTAAAATCTTAGCTTGCTTCCGCGAGATTACCTGCAATTTAAATCCAAAAAAAGTTCAAATACATCCGTGGGTATAAAATGTAAATTCATGCAAAGGCTCCTCACGATTATCGTTATACACGATTATTAAATAACTGCCTGTATAAAATAATATGACGTTTCGGATATTCAATGATTCTGTCACTTGAAATCATTTTTTAAGTACAAAGATTTATTAATATTATTATTTTTTTTATTTTATTGTTGTAATTTGATAGATATTACAACTAGTGATGGGAATGAAATTTGAAATCAAAAATCTGCCAAATCCATATTTCAGATTTTCAAACTTCAGCGAATTTGGATTTTTCCCATCACTAATTACAACATGATAATTATGTTTTTTAGGAAAAAGAAAATTATTAAAAATTATTTATTATACAAGAAAATGGGTTTGATATTTAAATTATACAATATAATATATAATTATAATAATTTAAATGCGGAAATGAAAGGTAAGGAGATATTAATGATAAGGAAGAAGTAAAATTGAGAAAATTGTGGATGGGAAGATCCATATCACGGAACCACGAGGAACAAAGATTTATAATTAGTATTAAATGTATACAAATAAAATGACTTTACAAATATACAACAAAAAATAAATACGTTTGACAGAATTTTAAATTATTTTTCTCTTATATTAAATACGAGTAAGTATAATATACTGTATAAAAATGTTCTTATTTATTTATACAAACTGAGCTAACAACAAACGACATTTTAAATTTCATGTTCAAAATTGAAACAAAATATAATAAATAAAATTATGCTTCGTATTTTGCATATTTGATAACTCATTAGGCAATAAAACTTGGAATTTAAAATTAAAAGTTAACAGAGTTGTTACTACTATATAATAATTTCAACGAATACTAAACACTAGTGCTCTTGATTTGATATGGGTAATACCCGGGTACCCGTTTATTCGGGTAATATCCGATTTTGTGGGTAGTCAACGTTTTCGGGTAGTGGGTACCCACTACCCAAAATTTTCGGGTACCCGATGGTTTTTGATATACGTAAACGATTTAACTAAGTCTTAACTGCTAAGAGGTAATCAGTATTAAATTATGTATTACACAATTATTCGAATAAAAAATATTAAATTATTTCCTCTTTTAAATTAACAAAATTACGTTTTAAAAATAAATCTTAAGTATTTTATGTGAGCGTTATTAGTGGTATTATATTTCAATAATTAATTTGTTCAAGTATAATGTCAAATAACATGTTAAAAGCTATTATAAAGCCTATATTTAAATCTTGCAGATAACGGATATAGTGTCCGTATTCGTTACCTTTTATGTGTATAGATACGTAGATAATAATAAGTAATCACAGTCAGTGGCGTACATACGGGGGGAAGATGCGTTCAAACCCACCCCTAGGGCCAAAAAAAAAAAGAAAATTGTGATATTATTGATGACGTGTAATATATTCATAGTTTCATTGTTATGCTTTGATCTTAAAATATACAACTATACAAAAATTATAATGATTGAATAATTATATTAATAGGTGTTTGAAAAGTTTTGTAACTATGCTGTTTTTATATTCATATAGCTACTAATTTACTGTAATGTAAAAGTAAACAGTAAATTGTTGTAAAGTTATCATGTTTTAGAAAAAATATGTATTTACATACAAATCCCAGCTATAATAAGTAAATAACCTAGTAATGAGTATACAAACCATAATGGGTACCCGATTCATAACGGGTACCCAATCCATAACGGGTACCCGAAATGTTGTAAATCGGGTAATACCCGTAAAACCCGGGTACTTGAGTGCCCGGGTATCCGGATATCAAGAGCACTACTACACTTTCTAGACAACGCATTTATCAATATATAGTATATACACTGTATATATTATACACGTAGAGTTATTAGTATTTATTGTTAGATGAATTGAAGTATAAGTATAATATTATTACTAATATTATATTATTATTATTATTATTATTATTATATCTTATATCTAATATATATATATAAAAATGGAGCCAAAAATGTATAACATTTCATCAATTGAAAACCACTAAGCCGATTTGGCTTAAATTTTTTTTTAATTGTTCGTAATTGCCAGGAGAAGGTTTTTACGAAAAAAAATTGCTATAAAAGTGCTATTGTTTAATAAATCGTAGTTTAAATTAATAATTTTTGACGAGGTCGATAACTGCGCAATTGAAAATGAATTATTGAATGATACTATTAAAAAACTATTAAAAACTATTAATTTTATTTTTTGTATTAAATGACAGGTATTGCATAAATATTAAACAACAAGATACCGCAACAGGTGCAAAAACAAACAAGAATGTCAGTTCGAAGGATTATTATGCATATCGGTTGATGATTAGATGCGATCAGGGCAGCGTTATTCTTCGATGTCGTGAGCTTGGTGAACAATTCATGGTCGACATGTATGTAAAGATATAGAGCGAACAATTACGATACTTGTGATTCAATCAAAAAAAGTTGCGTGCGGAAGATTCTCAAAACAATTATTAGATAGGTATCGATAATGGGAAAGTTACTACAGATGAAACGGGATGCATACAATTACCGACCAATTTCTGCACATTCATTGATTCGCAAAATGCTCTCATTGACCAGATATTTTCCAATGTACACAGACAATACACAGATCATAAGTGGGTAGCAGAAAGAGCAATTTTAACAGCAAAAAATGTGGAAGTCAACGAATTAAATCTCAAGATACAACATTTATTACCAGGAGCCTTGGTACAATTTGCGATGCTACTGAAGCCATAAATTATCGAACAAAGTTTTTAAACTCATTGGATTTACCAAGCATGCCACCGCATAATTTATAACTGAAGGTTGGATCTCCGGTTATTTTGCTTCGTAATTTGAACCCACCACGGTTGTGAAACGGCATGCGATTAGTCATTAAAAAATGAAGGAAAAAAATTATCGTAGCCATCATTTTAAATGGCAAATCCCGAGGTAAAAATATATTATTACAACGAATCCCTAGTATACCCACAGATGTGCCAATAAAATTTAAACACCTTCAATTTCCAACTAGATTGGCATTTGCAATGACTATCAATAAGTCTCAAGGCCAAATTATGTCTGTCTGTGTCTTAGATTTGAGCACATCATGTTTTTCACACGGACAATTATACATGGCGTGCTCTTGAACCATCCAGTTTGTTTGTGTTGGCGAAAGATGGGATAACAAAAAATATTGTACACTCTGTTGCATTAAGGGATTGATATTGTTTTTTACTAGTATTGTCATAATTAGCGATATATATATATATAATTTTAATGGATCAATTTTAATAAATTATTAAAAAAATAAATGTTTGATGTTTTTTTATTTTTATATTTCGTCACCGTTTACAGTACTTCATACCTCTTCCACTTATGTACCACATCCTTACACGCCTATATTATATTAGTAATTTTTTTCTAAAAAATATTCTCTAAAAATAATTTATATTTCAAAACAACGTTTGTCGGGTCAGCTAGTTTTATATAAAAGTTAAGAATAGTTTAAGAATTATCAGCATATGTCAATGCTGCACAAAACAATATATATCAGATATGTGTATAAAAGTTAGAAAGTAATTTAAAATAAATTAATTTAGTAGAATTAAATTTATTTCAAAATTATATTATGCATTTAAAAATTTAATAACAATTACAGAAATGTTTTACATAAGTCTAATTAATCTAAAACAAATAATAAAGATTTAAATATTATAAATTACCTTCCAAACATACAATAATATAATCAATGTCAAAATATCTTTGTTAAAACTAGATAAAACAACAAGGGGAGGATTTTCATCGGATTTTTAATACAAGCCCTTACTAAAGATCAAATGAAAAAAAATACACTAATACATTATAGAGTAATAAAATAATAACATACTACAAAATATAAATACGCCGTAAAAGTAATCTATTTAAATATGTATAATAGAAAAATTATTCAAATTTAAGATAACATTTGCGATGACACGACTCAAATTCTTAATAAAAATAGTGTCACAGGCGACCCTCGGAAAATGTGAAAACATATATATGAGCTTATAAATATAGATTTATTATGTAGAAGTTGAAGTAAATATTCTTAATTTAAAACACTTGCTTTCATATTATTTATGGGATAGGATTGAAAATGTTTAAGAATTATATTTGCTCAAAGAGAGAACTTTACTATGCCATTGTTCTATCTTTGCTAACCGAGTCATGCGATAGGCAGATATGTAACGGTGTGAGGTTTGAGGTACAATAACGGCCGGCGGTGGCCAGACGGTAATATGTGGCCTCTCAAACTTTCCCCTCCATGTCATTATTTCGTGTCGCAGCGAGGCTCTGAAATTTTTATTCCATACCGATGTTGTATACATGGAACATTTTATATTTTTAATAACTACTTAAATAATTCAATTGTTGAACTTTTCTCATTAGATGACTCATCTTCACACAAAGTACTCACATTAAAAAAAAAAAAAAAACTATGTAGGTCCAATAGAACATTAGATGTAACTGTTATAAAAATCGCCTCTCCTTTTAAAAATACATAGGTATCGAGCGTTACACATAAAAGGTTACGCTCAAAAATTTTTAGTTTTCACTACGGAATTAAATTGTTTTTTTTTACGAGACCGCTCAGGGGCTTTACCGGTTTGTTTGATTTGTCACCAGGCAGTAGCTATTTTTATAGTTTTTTATATTAAACGTCATTACGAGACTACACATGAATCATATCCATTTGATCAATTATATCTACTTCGATCGCAAGAGTAAGTAATATTATTATATGTTATATAATCTTATGTGTTATTTGGTGAAGAAATTGTTGTAATAACGATTTTTTGTTTTCAAATATATATCTTACAATTTTTAGAAATATTTAAGAGTATTGTTAAAATTAAAATACTGAATTTTCCCCTTTTCAACTCCTTTATTGGTAGAAAGCGATTGAATTCAAATCAAATTGTATTTTTTTAAGCTCGATAAGTACACATCATTGAATATAACAATAATTGTTGAAGTATTACTTGGCAAAAATTAAGTGGTGACTTCCCTACAGAATTTTATGGTTGATAAAAACAGGCGGCTTTACCCATATACACAGTTCATATTTAAGTATGCTCACGGAAATCGGTAAATTTTAAAAATTCCATCGGATTGAGCCATAGATAGTGACTTACAAACGTAGAACGAGTAAATTATCACCCCGAGGCAGAAATCAATTTTAATGTGCCTTATCTGTTTTCGTTGGCCGATAATAAGACCTAGGGTTTTTTTTTGCATTCATTATTTCGACAGTAGAACGATCTTAAACGGTTGCGAACCGATTACGCAATTGGTCTAGCGGTTGTATCCTCGTTGGATCCCGAATCATTTAAGTTACTGTACTAGTTAAGTCCCGGGTGTATTTAGATACTGCACTACACTAAAATGTGTAGAATAATAAACATACGAAATCGAATCGAAACACGAAGCACGAAACGAGGTTAAACACGCAAGAAGTTACATCGCGTAACGACAACTCAAAAGTCTGCTTAGAGAATTCCAAGACCCTGGGAACCAAGGGGTGGTGTCCGAGATAACGTGAACGGTTCAGCGTACCCAAAAAAACCCAGTACCCAGCGTATATAAGGAAGGGATGTGAGGGGTTAAATTTCCCTAGGCCTTTTTTTTAAATGTTTTAAAATAATGTTCTTAGTGTGAGGGCGTTGGAAATGTAAAAAAAAAAAAATAATGATTTGTTTGTCTCCTCATACAAAAGTTATGTATACACCACTGTCGATGCCCAGCCAAATGCGTAACGTGCGCTACCGTACACCCCCTTTTTCACGTGAGCTCCCTGGGGCGTCCGGGACCCGACGACGTAACGGTAGCACCGGTGGCAAAGATCCGCGAACCCATCACCCCTATATTCCCACCACTCACCCATCGGGCGTGTCACTGACCTGCGTTTTCAGGGCCAAGAAATAGCCGGCGACCACGAGCAGCGCGGCGGTGACGACGTAGGCCAACGGCAGCACGGTGTTCCCCGCGAGTTTCACAATCGATAGCTGATCCATGTCTGGGACGGGTACGTGACGCTTCGGGTCCGCAGCGTCGGGCGCTACTGTACGGTTCTACCGCTGCGAACTGCTCGCCGGCTTGTACACCTACGCCGCTACCGCCGTTGCTGCCGCGCGTTATCACGGTGATACCGCCGCGAGCGACGGTACAAACCGCCCCCGCTCCGCCCGCGAACCGTAATAATTGCGCAACGGTTTGTACACATGGTTTACCGTTGACCGCGTTAACATTGGACCGTTTGAAAAACAATTTTTCAATCGACCGTTCCGTTTCGAAATCATCAACACTCATGCGCAGTGATGATCGAAAATCCGCATCATCCGGACCTTACGGTTCGTCCGAATGATTCGGATATCTCACTTGAATGTTGCCGTTCGATGATCCCGTAGACATAATATAAATTTGTATTACGTCTACGGTTGATCCATTACCATACTCTGATAAATCTGATTTCTACAACATTTTTAAATCATAATTTATCTTATTTCCGACGGATTTTGATTACCGTTGTTAGGTATCTTGTTCTAGGCAGTGGAGGCATTTAAAGGGTGGGAGGTGTAACTTATGCTTTTGCCACAATCTAAAGTTTAGCTATTCCGAATTCGTTACATCATCGAAATATAAATACGTCTTTTATGAAGCCATTAACATGTAATATATCAGAGAAATGAGACGTGTACTGTACGGGAACTTATGTACTATGTACAAATCTTTATATTTTTAGACTCATATTACGTCCCCCTCACTCTACGTTAATTTCAAAAATAAATGTAAAAATCAATAATTTTTTAAAACATCCAGAATAATTAAAAAATATGCCCTAAAAATATGTTGTACCCTAGAGTAGATAATTTAAAGTATGTTCAATGTTTTTAATTTTTATTAATTTATCTAGGGTAGTGAACATGTTAAGTGTTAATATTTTTTTATTAGGAATGACTTAACCCAAATCCTGCAAAAATTTGCGCTACAGAAATTTATTCATGTTCTAGTAAAATTTTTTTTTTTCTTTCTTTGTTAAAGGGCGTTGGCCCGTTGATTTTATAAATAAATAAATAAAAATTATTGATAACTAATGTGTTTATTGCCTTTGATAATTTAGTATTGAATTAATGTCCATTATTTGGTCTATTCACCTACAAGATAGTTTTAATATAAAATGCAAATCATACATTATACAAAAAATATATCTCAGAATACCTTATAATTATAAATGAAAAATCGGGTAGGCACGATGTACAACGGGCTCTAGGCCTATAACCCTGCATCAGATTAAAAATACAGGACTCACTTCCTCAATGCACATAACATTGTAATACCAGTCTGATGTAGGTTATTTGTCATGTCACTTAATTTGTGTAATCAAAATAAATTATCTATTCTATTGTGTTTTTTGGTATACATAGATTGATTTGCAACTATTTACTTTTGATAAAAATAAAAACTTAAATGGGAGGGGCTTTGTAAAAGTGTATAATTAAAAAAAAAAATGTGTGAATAAACCTTTTGCTACTTTAGTCTTAGCTCTATACCCCGAATCCAAGTACATACTATGTTATCAGTGGCGTAGCTAGGATTTTCTGAAGGGGGGGTGTTAATTATAATTATTAAATATTATATATAATACGTACAAACTAAAACTTTTATTTTAATTAATTAATATGTATACATAATGTCTGTAATAAAGATGTAATGTATATTCGAATTCGGATAGCTTTACCATAAATCATTCGAATATTTGACTCTTCGAATATCAGTATTCGATGCTACAATACCTATTATTATTAAACGTTTTGTGTTGCACGAAAACGTAAACGAATAATTTTCGTCACGTATTGTCGCAATCGCGATAATGTTAACCTGTATATATGTAATTAGTATTGTGCATTATTTTATATTTCATATTGTATTATCGATTTACCTAGATTTCTATAATAATGTAATATATGATACGGCTCAAGGGGGATGTCATCTTGAATATAAAACAAAAAGCATAATATGTATTAACTATAAAGTACTGATTTTTCCAAATTGACAATTTTTGATATCTCTGTATATTTATTATATTACCACAATACAGAATTGATTTAATGATAAATATGACATATTTCACATAAAAAGATAAATATATCTATTTCCTAAATTTACAGTATTATTGGGTTTTCATATTGTGTCGGTTTTCAGTTGAATTAATCCACAGGATTCTTCAATATTAAATATAACGGTGCGGCAAGTGCCCAACATATCAGCATAGATATTAAATAACTAATTATCCTAGATGGTACTTGATTGTATTTTCAGCAGGGGGCAAAAATTAAAAATTTCACCCCCATATTACACAAAAAATCATTATATTTATGATTTATTTAATGTAAACACAAAATAAATTAAAATAAATTTTTGCTTTCATATTTTTTTTTTTTTTTTTTTTATTTTTATTAGCTTTTAGTATACAACTATGATAGCTCGACATTTACAGAGATTATAAATAAAACAACATTATACATTAAACATTAGTGTACATATTAAATAATGAAGCCAGCATCCAATATAAAGGAAATTATTAATTTGATGGCGGTAGTGGATTTTGTGTTAAGTATGGAGTGGATATTTAAGGGGATATTAAGAGTCTTAAGTTCATTAATTAAAATAATGCGATTGAGTTGAAGTGCAGGGCAGTCGAGTAGAATATGGGATAAGTCACAAATGCATTCATTTAAGTGAAGAGTACAGAATGGAGAATAATTAAGGCCAAGTTTGAAGGAGTGACTAGGAAGAAGGTGATGTCCTATGCGTAGCCTATTAAATTGTACTATATATGGTCTATGTAAGTATAAGTTATTGAACCAGGTTTTTTTAGGATATTTGGTGTAATATTTCTGTATCTTGAGGCGAATTCGGCAGGTAGATTGTTCCAGAGAGAGAACCAAATATTAGTAGAGTATTGTTTTATAAGCGATGTGAAGTCAGAATGGGGGAGTTGAGAAATAGAAGGAAAGATGAGATTGGATGAAGATTTAGCAAGGTGGTCTGCAACTTCATTACCATGTATGCCTGTATGACTAGGAACCCAAAGAAAGTGGATGTTATAATTAGTTTGATTTAATGTAAAAATAAGGGACTTGATGCGAAGAATAAGTGGAGACAGGTGAGAGTTAAATGGGTTTGAATTTAAGGCTTGGAGGCACGACATAGAATCTGAGACAATTAAGTAATTGTTGGGGGGAAAATTTTGAATAAGTTTTAGGGCTTCGGTGATGGCATAACACTCAGCTGTAAAGGAAGAAGACGTAGGAGGAAGGTTATTGTTAAAAGAGAGCTGTAGATCAGGAATATAGAATACTTTCATATTTATTTAAATATTTAATATAACCATTAACTGCTAAAGGATTGTAACATTAATTATATTTAGAACACTTTTTAAATTAGGTATTTTAAGTGCTGTCTTGGACGTAATTAAATATCAAATACCTATCTAGTTTATTTAAATATTTTTTTAAAATTCAAAATAATCATATTTCATATTATTTTTTGACAATCATTACATAATTTTTTTTTATATTTTTCATATTATGCTATTGTTAAAGTATTTCAAAATTAAAATATAATAAACATTTATTTTTTTTAATTTTTCAGTATAAAATTAAGTAGGTGTACTGTGTAAAGTTTTGGCCATACCTAAATAAATAACTACCTTGTATAATAGCTATATAATTTGATGATAGGATAGGTGAAAACTGTTTAATCACATGAACAATATTTTTAATTAATAATCTTTTTTCTTTTTCAACAAATATTTTTGTTATTAATAGTCTTAAATCAAATGCTCCAATTACATCTGGACACAAACGGTTTTTAATATCACTTGCAACTCCATTTAATAATGGTATGTAAATTGACCGACAATAATACTCTTCGGAATTTTGTGCTGGATGATTTGACCGATTAATTTGCATATTAGATATTCGAAATGGTTTAATTTCAAATCCTAAAGTATTAGCTACATCACAAGCTTCATTAAAAATATCTTTAAACACATTATGTGAGTCTATTCGTTTCTCATTTAATACATCTTTAACGCCTTCAATAACAAAATTTGCCTTTTCCGTTTTGATTGAAGAATTCGACTAACTGGAAGTGTCAATTTATCAATAAGAGAAAAAAAGAGTAACTATTAATTCACTATTGCATATAGTCAATTCAAGTGTATGAGCTTTTTTTAGATGAATTTGTATCAGTCCAACACTTCATATCAAAAAGAACTTCTAAAATCTGTAATTAAAATTAACGTTATAATTAGTATTTAATATATATAATAGTAGTATATAATAACAAAAGTGCATATAATATTCAAGTATTCTTGCCATATAGATTATGTGATATAGTTTTAAATAGGATTCTTATGTTATTTATATTTGACTTTTTTATTACATAAAAATCTGCACCCTAATCATCATCTAATAGAACTGCTAAATTGATATTAAAGATGATTTCACAAAATAATTTTAAAGATATTTATTATGAACGCTTATTATAAGTTTTTCAATTTTTTAGTGATAAATTAAAAATTCTAGTTGGTGGACTAAAATCCATTGATATCACTGACGCAGCAACATCAATGGCGAGTAAATTAATGGCAGATATGCCATCATTTATCAAATAGAGCAATTGTCAAAATACATTTTGTTCTGTAAAGAATGTTGAGACAACTTCTACAATAATGTCATTGAATAAATTCAACTATGAGTTTTCAATCCAGAAAGAATTGTATGAATGCCTCCGAGAATCAAAAGAGAAATGTGTTTACTGTGGTTATCAAAGGATATCTTCTATTTGGCCTACTACACATATTTTGGTTGAGCTGATTTCACTCCCTGAAGGTAAATAAATATAAAATACTATACAAATGTATAATCTATTTTATTTTTTTGTTTTTTTCATGCAAAAATATATATAATAAAATTGTCTTTAGATTTAGAAGCATCAACTAGTACAGTAAACGTTGAGAAATCGTCGGTAACATTAGTGAGACAAAACTTTGCAAAACAAAATACAACAAAGCTATCTGATATAGATAAGCACTTAACAGCATCTTAGAAAATGTATTACTTATGAGGAATAATTAATTTTCATGGTGGTGAACGTCGAGGACTACGTTCAACTACAGGTCACTATACTGCCAGCGCTTTCCGAGGCAACGAGAAATGGGAAACCTATGATGACACTAAAACAGCAATTCAACACATTAAACAGGTATTCGATGTAGAATTTTTAATTTATACAATTTAATGCTCAAACATAAGTTTAATTTTTCCAAAGTTTTTTTTTAATAAAGTTAAAAATGAAAATGAGTAACAAAAAGTGACTACTTCATGCACTTACCTCTTTTCTTATTTTTTTTTTTCTTAACAATCTTAAAAATACTTTTAATTTTACATTTTCCCCTCCTAATAAAACTAACTAGATTTAATTTGTTATTAAAAATGATTTTTAAACATTAAAAATCATAGAAATATTTTTACTATGAATCGTGTACACAGACAAACTCTTAAAATAAAATAAACATAATTGTAGAATCAATACTTTTATTACTCTACTCAGAATTGATAAAAGTTCAGAAAAATATACTAACCTGGCATTCATTGCTGGAATTGCTCAGGTCTATACAAACTATACCGCCACGTAACGTACGTTAATTTTGACGTCCGTTGTAAAATTGTATTGATATTTACAGATAGGGCCACACTAACGACGTGCATATGAACGAATGTTGATTTTTGCCTCTGCGTATTATGCTACAACGCAGTGCCGTCCCGAGGGCAGGGTAAACGGGGCACTTGCGTTTATACAATAATAACATACAGTGTCAGCCTGGTCAAGGCAGCTAGGCAGCAATTGCTGCCTGGGCCCCCGTCTTTTTTTTATATGTATATTTAAATGCAACGAAACGTTTGGATATAATAATTACGAGGAACACGTGGTCGTAAAGTATTTTAACTTTTAATTTTTAAATCTATAGTTAGAATAAGTAAATCGTACTTCTTATTATCTTAGTCAGGTATTATAATTGTGTTGTAGTTCGATAAATATAAATTATAATTATTATGGATGAATGATCTTGATATTAAATAGTATTGAAGAACGATTAATTCCAAATTAAAATATATTAAAGGATGTAAATGGTTAGATCCTAAAATATACGAATACAACGAAAAGTTTAAAGAATATGCTATGGATATCTTGATAACTGTAAAAAAGTGATCTGATGTTAATAGAGATACTGTATTACTTAAATAGAAACAATTTGCTTCTAATTATTTTAATATTATTCCAAAAAAACATGCCATAATGATCGATAATGATGGTGAAGGTTATATTATAGATGAATTAGTGACATCTGATTCAGAAGATGAACTTGATTCGATAAATTGTAATACCTGTTGGAAATGTATAGCATGTGCTTTTAAAATTATTACCCAACTATCTTGTCATTATGTTATGTACAACAATTTGAATTAGGTTTTTAAATACATAATACTATTGCCATAAATTCAAGTCACTTGTGAAAGAGTATTTTCTAAGCATATAGTAATAAAAACAAAATTAAGATCGTCACTCGATCAGCAACATTTAGAACCACTAATGCTTATGGCTATAGAAAAAGATTACTTTAAATGTAGATAAAATAAAACTAATAGATAACGTAAAAAAATCGTCAAAAGAAACGACAAGACTTTTGATATGATATAATATATACTATTAAATGTATTTATTTTATACATACATAGTTTTTTTTTTTTTTATAAAAGTTGAATACTTAACGGTAAATTTAAATTAAGATAATTTTTAACTTTATTATTTTTTATTTAAAATAACAAATATAGAATCTATATAAATTACATTTTAATGGCCATTTTACATATTTAAGATATATTTAATTTCAATATACGAGTAATAAATAAATGTTGTAGTATGGGGGTTAGATTACGTTAATCCTACCTGGGCCCTTTAGATCCAGGCCGACACTGACAACATACCATGTATAAATAAATTATAGATATATGGATCGAGGACCACTATTCTGGTGTACCTATGGATTTCGATATAATATTGTAGGGCCTCGAATTCTAATAATGCCCAGGGCCTCGCAGAACCTAGGAACGGCACTGCTACAGCGCACGTCGAAACATGTATACGCACGTTATAGAAATGTATTGTTTTGAACTTGAATGGCTATATGGACGCACAATTATCCGGATGTAATAACTTTGTGTTGGTTTTGAAGTGTGTTGTGCGAAGTTTGTTTAAATTCAAATTCAAAAATTATAATAAGTTTCTTTAAGTTTACTTTAAGTACAAGTGTGTTAAACATGAGAACGTAACAATTTCGTTCGAATCCATTACACCAGCCTTAAGCCTTTTTTACACAGTCCGTTTTTTTAACGACGGCGGAAACGGATCGGATAAAAATAGAAAACGGAGAAATAAGAAACATAATTGTTTATACTAATTATTCACACAATTCGTTTCAATCAACGGATAAATAACCCACCGGTCCGTTAACGGACAACTCGACGGATTGCTTCGATATATTTCTGTTGCCGGAACGTTTTTAAAACGAACCGTTTATCAAGACTATATTAATAGATATAACATTTCACACTTTTCGATTTAGTGTCCGATAATTTTTATCCGGTACCCGTTTAAGTTTAGTAAAGTTTAGTTTTTATTTTTATCCAATCCGTTTTCGTTGCCGTTAAAGAAACGGATTGTGTGAAAATATTGTCCATTTTCTATTTTCTTCCGATTCGATTCCGCTACCCGTTACCCAACAAAAACACTTCGTCGAACTCCGTGTAAAAAATTGCTAAGTAAAAAAAAACTAGTCATCTATAAGATTTCAGCATTATAAATATGTGATATCATAAATAAATGCTAAGTTAACTTAAATTTAAAAAAAACTAGTAATTTATAATACTTAAACATTATAAAGATGTGATATCAAGAATAAATGCTAAGTAAATTAAATTTTAAATTAATTGATTCTATCTCAATGATTTATTTACTTTGCTAGAATTTATTTCCTTTATAAATTAATAATTAACACTTTTTTATAAAACAAATTTAGTAACATTTGTCATGGAAATTTGTTAAATAGTCCAGTTATGAATAGACATGTTTATTTACCGAAATATATAAATTCTAACCAAGTAAATAAATGATTGAGATAGAATCAATTAATTTAAAATTTAATTTACTTAGCATTTATTCTTGATATCACATCTTTATAATGTTTAAGTATTATAAATTACTAGTTTTTTTTCAAATTTAAGTTAACTTAGCATTTATTTATGATATCACATATTTATAATGCTGAAGTGTTATAGATCAGTGTTTCTCAACCTTTTTACTGTGGTGACCCCTTTTTTAAATTTAAATTTTTTAGCGACCCCTACATATATATTTTTACATACTCGCTTAGATTATCATTATAAATAATCTAGAGTCTATAGTTACTACAAGTACTGTACACGAGAAATATTAAAGATACATATTATAATATTATATTTATTTAAAATTAAAAAAAACGTACATTAAATATTTCATTTTATTATATAAATATATTTTTATATTAATATTTTTAATGGCTTGGTTGTTGCTGTTGATGTGATATTATTTCGTCAATTCTTGGTTCAATTGACTTCGTCAAGCTAATTCTCATAGCCGATGAAATTTCCAGACGGTTTCTAGTTTTATTTTTTATTGTTGTTAATGTGGAAAAACCATTTTCACACAAATATGTAGTAGAAAATGAAATAAGTAATTTTAATACTTCTTCAGCCAAACTAGGATATTCATTTTGAACCTTTATCCAAAATTGACCTATATTTTTATTGCTTCTGAAAATCTCGTGTAAGCCCACATCTGCACTCAATTCAATCAACTTTTCTTCATTTGTTAATGATAGTATATTTTGATCAGATTGTACGAATGGATTTATTACCCAATTACAATTTTTACGAATGTCTTTTGTGGGGTCGAAATATTTGGACATTTTTTCTCTTAATCTACCTAAGTGTTCTTCTATGATAATACACATTTCATTTATTTCATTTTTTGTTAATATATTTTCCTGAGTCATGTTAAAAAAATTTGGAAACATATCAAATGTGTAGTTTCTTACTCGATTTGTCCATAGTCTTATTTTTTTTAGGAATGCGTCAATTTTGTTGTACGATATAAAAAGATTAGTATGTGGACCTTGCATACTTAAATTTAATTCATTAAGAATTGAAAATATATCGGAAAGATATGCAAGTTTGGCTAACCACACATTATTTTCGAAATAATCACTAACTGGTGATTTTTTGTCTCTTAAAAATATTTCTACTTCCGTTTTCAGTTCAAATAACCTAGTCAAAACTTTTCCTCGCGACAACCATCGAACATGAGTGTGTAATAGCAAATTTTTAAAACCTGAACCCATTTCTTCACACATCACTTTAAAAACGCGAGTGTTTACGGCACTAGCTCGAATAAAATTTACTATTTTTATGCATATATTTAGAACGTCAAATAGGTTTTCGTTCATATCTTTAGTTGCTAATTGCTCACGATGAATGAAACAGTGTGTTGATATAATGTTTTTATGAGCAATTTGTTGAACGCGTGTGACAAGGCCATTAAATTTTCCGGTCATAGCTGCAGCTCCATCAGTACAAATACCGATACAGTTCGAAAATTGTAAATTAATTTTTTGGAAATGAGATGAAATGGTTTCGAAAATTTCTTCAGAAGTACAGTATGTTTTTAAATTTAAGCAACAGAAAAACTCTTCTTGTATATCGTTCAGATCAGTATCTACATACCTCACATACATCAATAATATAGCTTCATTATTTATATCAGTAGATTCGTCGAGCTGTATTGCGTAAAAAATTGATTTTTTGATTTTTTCACTAAGCTGATTTTCAATATCATTAGACATAGTATTTATTCTTCTACTTATCGTATCATTAGACATAGGTATTTTTTTAATCTTTGTCACGTGCTCATTACTAAATAATTCTGTACAAATATCAATCATACACGGTTTTAACAATTTTTCCCCAATCGAGTATGGTTTTTTTGATTTAGCTATGTGTAAGGCTGCCAAATAAGAACATTTTAGGTAGATTTTGTCTTCGACCGTATAAGTATTTATCATTTTTTTATTTTTTTTTTAATTCTTCGAATTTTCTTAAAAAAAAGTCCCTTGTATTATTTTTATACTGAGCATGACTAGTTTCCATGTGTCTAATGAGCTTATTTGGTTTTAGTGATGCATTTGCTAATGTCATACCACAAATAACACATTGAGGAACATCCTTTCCATTCTCGTTTAAGTATGTAAAGCCATATTTAACGTAACTATCTTTATATTTTAATATTTTTACCTTTTTGAGTGATGGTTCATCAACATTTTGAGTAGTATCCAAATTATGTTTTTTTGTAATATTTGAGTTTTGATTATCAGAAGTCGATGTATTGTGCGGTTGTTTGAAAAAGTTCGTCATTTGCGACTGTTTACTCATATTAGAAATATTTTATAATAATACATAAAGTCAAATAAAGATAAAGTGTATAAAAATGTGAAATACAATATAAAAATGCAACTTATTAACCTATATTTTACAACGGCGCACGGCACGGCGATGTTAACGATGAACTGTGACAAATATATAATAATATAATATGTGCAGTGTGCACTGCGGCCGCGGCGGTGGCCTTATCTTAGGTTGATACTTGATAATCTATATTCGACGTTTATTATAGATTCTTTAATAGACGTCATAGAGTAATATCGCTTTAAAAATGATAATAGTGTGTTTTCCATTTTAATATAAATAATCTATACTCGTAATAGGTATGTAATATAATAATATTTTATTGATTTTATTTTTTTTATTATTTGAGCTTTTAATTTTCGCATTGATTTAAATCATTCGATTGCGACCCTAAATAATAAGTTGGCGACCCCCAGGTTGAGAAACACTGTTATAGATGATTAGTTTTTTTTTACTTAGCAATTTTTTACACGAAGTTCGACGAAGTGTTTTTGTTGGGATATCAGTAGTTTTTTATAACATATTTTTATGTACTGGCAAGTAATATGTAATGTTTTATATTTTTATTCATTTATTTTATTGTTATGTTTTTTTATTTAATATACTCTATATACTATTTTTTTAAATTCATATTCTATTTTTTTTTTTTTAATCATATTCAATTTTTTTTCCATTATTATAATATATACATTTTTACCCCTTCGAGGCCATCGTTCAAAATGTATTGTAGTGTCATTACATCGTAGCCATTTATTTTGATGTGAAATTATGCTTGTATAATGGGCTTCATTCATAGATAGACCATGAGGACAGATGACAGAGTTTAAACCATACGATTTACTATCAATTTTAATTATTGTAGTGGGTAATGCATTAATGGTTAGGTTTGATATTTTGGTATTGACATTACTCCAAAGTTGTATTTGAAAGTACTAATATTCATTAGTATTTACTATATTTGTTATCTGTGTATGATCTGTAATAGTATTACAGGCACTGTAATTAACGCCTTCTATTAACACTTCTCTGAATAAATAATCTAGCATTGTATTTAAAGTTACTGTTTCATTTTCATTAGGTATGTTAAGTTGAATAATATAGTTTTGAGTTATTTGTATTCTCTTATTGTGGCACGCAGAACAAACTAATTGTACCTGTAATTTATGAGATAGCGCATTTTTTAGTGGATCGTAAATGTTTATAAGAGCACTAATAAATTCAGCAGCGTCCTGTTGTTCTTCATTAATAAAAGGGTGCCCAAGCTGTCTTCTAATACTTGAAGAACTTAGAATATTTTCATGTGAAACGTAAAACAATGCAAGATTTTTCAGAACAGAATGTTCCGAAGAGTTAATTAGGTTATTTAATATATGTGTACAATTGAATATGGCATGTAAAGAAGAATTTGCATAGCATGATATATTATTTGAATTGGAAAAGCCTGGTATAGAATGATGAGGAATATCTTGATAAGAAGTTAAAGGTATTTGGGCATTATTAGCACGGATATTTGATGAATCTGTCCATATTAAATCTTTAATGTGTCTATTTTTTTGTGGATAAAAGAGGTATCTTACCTAAATCTGGTCTATACTTCTCTCTAAGTCTATTATACTCTTTAATTGCCACTACTTGAGCTTTAATATTCTTATAGTCAAAATTTATAACAGGAGGCCTTTTAAACTACACACTCTGGATAGTGCTACGTATGTTTGCCCACATGAAAAAATGGAATTATCTACATCTATGATGCAGTTATCTAGAGACATACCCTGGCTTTTATGAATTGTTATTCCATAAGCCACTGTTATAGGGAATTGTTTCCTATAAACATGACTCGTGAAACACTTCGAATTTACCAGTAATGCGTTCAAGATAATAGCATTTGTTATTAAATACTACTTGAATTTTTTTCAGGTTCCCCGTCCATTCCATTAATAACATTTACAATCGTTCCTATTGCACCGTTAACCAAACCATTTTTTACATCTATGTTTTTTTGTAACATTATTTTACAATTTAGTTTAACATTAATATATTTCTCCAAACCAGCTGTTCTCGAACTATCATCATTAAGCTTTGAAAGTTTTTTTACGACCTTACTTTTTGTTGTTTCTTTACAATCAACAGAATCAACTGCTACCAAGCATACATTTTCTGAAGGTAACAATGATAGTATACCGTTGTTTAAAATAGAACAGTAATTTCTTGTTGGAAGCAAAACAAGTGTAGATTCAGGTAATTATATTATAAGATGATATAATTGTTTTATAATATCACTTTTATCATTACTTTTAAATTTAATTTTTTGTTCCTTTATTGTTGTTATGGCTTATATTGTTTATTCGAATTCTCTCTAATATGTTTGCGTACATAGAATCATTTTTTTATCTCATATTCTCCGTCAATTCATCATATGTAAACAATTTTTCCCACAAATTTATAGTTCCTAATGAATTTATATATTTATCACATTTTTTTAGCTTACATAGGAATAAATGGAGACAACTCATTTACAGGTGGTAATTGAAGTAATTCACCAAATATTAATATATTTATTTTACCGAACCAACCGTCATCACAATTACCTGTATCATATATTTCACTAAATCTTAAATGGATATATAGTAATGTAATATTAGAAGCCATACTTATTTCATCAATGATAAGCAAAATTACATCTTTCATTTTTTTCGTGAATTAATTTAATTGTATTATTAGATAATGGTCTATAAGGCGGTATATTTCCATGTTCTACAGGTAATTGCAAAATACGATAAATAGTGATACCTTGTATATTGTATGCCGACATACCCGTTGGTGCAGTTATAGCTACATTTTTATTCAATTCTCTTATGATAAATGCTTTAATCGTTTTAATTAAATAAGATTTGCCAGTACCTCCTACTCCTGATACAAAATTTCGTATCAGTGGTTCATTTTCCTTTCCAAGCTTATACCTTATATACTCAAAAACTCGCTTTTGATCACCATTTAAATTTGATGCTATTGTTTCGAAATCGTCTTTAGTATCTTTATTCATTTGCAACTCATCTATGACGTCTTTTAACTTATTAGCTTGAAATTCATTATCAAAATCATCTGGGGTACATAGTGCTTGTTTATTATTTATTTTGTCAATTAGAGTGTTAAAAACATCTTTCGACTTCTAAAGATATTGTAAACGCTCATGATAATTAATTGCTGATTCTATTACATCTCTGGAGTGCAGAAATGTGTCAAAATATGTAGTAGACCCCTCAAGTAACTCAGCTTCATCTCTCCAAGGTTTGAATAACATCAGCAATGAATGGAAATATTTTTCTGGTTCTAATTGAGGGTTGTACTTGGGATGTTTTATTAAATATGGACGATCTCGTTCTTTTAAATATCCAAAACCAGGATAATCGTAATATTTTAGTTGTTTATTATACGGTTTTTTTTTTACAATATCATATTTGCTAGCATAATCAAATAAACTTATGTCTTCCATTTCATGTGGCCTATGTGGGTAGTGATTATCAATAAGAGAAGGATAAAATAAATCAGTAGATTCATTATCTAGTTTTGCAATTTCTTTTTTATGTTTAAGTCTCCTGTTTCTGTTAATGCTGACATCTAACCATTTTATTGTGGTGTTGAAATCTGTTCCAAACAATGGAATATTAAGCAATGTGTCACTTGCTTCTCTATTATTTAGCGAACGTAAAGCTAAATTCTATAATTTAGAAGACAAAGACTTAGAATTATTTATCAAGTCAAATGATTGCGCAGCGTAAGATTTTTCAGGTTTTGTCTGATATTTGGTTATATAGGAACTTAGAGCGCATGATTTTTCCCTAATAAATTGAATATCCGTATTACCTTTTCATGCTAAAAGAATAGCAGGATTATAATCATTTATGTATGTTTCACTTTTATTTCGTGGTATATCATACAGTCTACTTTTAGATTTAAGATTACGCCGTCCTGCAATAGACGTAGCAACGTCTCGAACTGTAAATTGATCAGTTACAGGTCTTGGAAATCCAAATATACAACATTGAACTGTTCCCTTATTTGTTTTTTTATTTCGCAAGCAATAGTTATTGTGTTTGTGAGTTTGGTACAAATCTACACGCTCTGATAGTTGTGGAAATGTGTTTTTATCTGGTTATACACATGTTATTTTATCTGCAATAAAACTAGCAACTGTTTCATTAGTTGCGTTGCCTAACACAGGGGCTCCTTTAATCCAAATCAGCATATGAAAATGTTGTAATCCTCTGGTTTGATACTCTCGCCGCCATACATAATGTTCAATAACCTAAACCCAATAGCCTAAAGACCCGTTTTTAGACGTAAGGAAATCGAGCATAGCTTTGAATTCATTATCTATGAAACGGGACGTTGAAATAGGATCATACGCAATGAGTGCTGATAGTGATTTTCCTTCTTCAGTTACATTATTTACTTTCCTTAAATAAGAATCAAGTCTATCTCAATTATATTCTGCAGGACTAAGAGTTAAAAAGAATGTCACTGGGCCATACCACGTTATCATGGTTTCAATTGACTGGTGTTTCTTAACCGAGTGAATATAGTAGTCAAATTTCCTTCTAATTGATCATTTTTTAACATTTCTAAACATTCAGATGACGTAAATTTATCTTTAGATTTAATTGTACTAAGTTTGTGATAAATTCCAGATTTAAGTGCTCTTATATTAGCGTCGTGTAACAAGAAAAAACAAATACTGTATATTTGTCCGAAAAATTGGATTCATTGAGAGTAAACGAGATTTAATGAATTCACTAGAAGATAGATTTTTTCTAATCTCTCAGAATATTGGCCATCTTTTCCATAAGGAAATAACACTGGGAAACATTTCACATCTAAATTTAAATCTCTTTGATCAATTGGATTTATATCTATTTTTAACATCTGATACAAATCAGTTGCTTTAGCGTTTTTACGAGACTCATTAA